TTTAGGTACAGGTTGTTTTAATCAACAGTTGTTCATACCAAAACAAGAATGTGTTCTTACCCCTGATCACAAAACAACACCGGTACAAAATGTCTCTAGATCTGGAAATACAGCAATTGAGTTGCGGTTGTTTGCTTTGACAGTATTAACACTCATTTGGCATATGGCTTTAAAATGTTTGAAGTACTTTATAAACCTATTTCACTTGATCTTTAAAAATAATCCAGTGTGCCCTGGCTGGTGTAGCTCAGTAGATTGAGCACAGGCTGGCGAACCAAAAGGTTGCTGCTTTGATTCCCAGTCAGGGCACATACCTGGGTTACAGGCCAGGTCCCCAGTGGGGGATGCACAAGAGGCAACCACACACTGATATTTCCCTCTACTTATCCCTCCCCTTTCCCTCTCTTTAAAAATAAATAAATCTTTAAAATAAACAATTCAATGAGATAGACAAGTTAGGTGCCTACTGTATAGAATGGACAGAATAGAAGATACTTTCTGTACAGATGAGAAATAAACCCAGAGAGATGGAGTGATGTAGGGGTACACGCAGGTAGTAAGTGATGTAGGGGTACACGCAGGCAAGCCCCGTGTTTTTGGATTTGTCATCTGGTACATCCTCATCTAAGTCTGTCTGTAAAATTCATATGTCCTGTAAAAACAGGATTTTCATATGATTTTCTAGGTTTTTGTTAGATTGAGTTGTGTTTTTAAGCTTCCTCTTTCATATAAGCATAACATGTTAGCATGTACGTAATTAGTTTCCTAACATGAAGGGTGGGCTAGTTCTGGGACGCCCGTGTGGGAGTCTTCTTCCTGAGCCTGCTCAGCTTTACTGTAGCAGTGTGGGGGGCGGTAAAGACGAGTCCACCTGCTCAGTGAGGCCAGGGGTGTTCACAACAGCCAGTCTGATATTTCCCTGTCCGGCTTTGAAGCATTGAAATTGCGTAGGAGGATGGAGCGGGAGAGCATAAGAAATCTCTTCATTTTCCCCAACTTAATGCAAAACTGGCCAGGCTCCACGGGGACAGAAGGATCCAAAGGGAAGACCCAGAAGGTCACCAGCTGGGGGGCCGTGTCCTTCTCCTGGCCAAGAACTCCCTGATCCTTCCTCTTCTGTCCGGAGCTGAGATCCTGGGTGCTCTTTCTGTGTCTCCTGCCCTGAGTGGATTTGACTTTGCAACCCCACACCAGCTGTTCCCACTTCCTTCCCTTGGCTGCAATTACCCAAATTTTAGACGCAGTTTCCAATTTTGGAGATACTCCATTTACTTATCCTTAAAATGACCTTTTCAAAGTAATATTAGCTATCAAAAGTTGTTTTCATCTTCCCTTGGAATGAGACCTAGGCTAGACCTTCTCTGTCTTGCTTCTCTGTTTAGTTAACAAAGGGTACTGGAAGGTTGGAAAAGCATTTTTTTTTTTGTTATTTCTGGCACAGCCAAGGAGTACTGGAATGACTGGAAGCCCCCTAAAGATTTCAGACAATTATGACATTGTAGTGGGGTAATGCATCTCCAGAAACATTTGCTGATAAGGAACTGAAGTTTATGTTTATCTTGATTTTTTTATTTCTAGGTCCCTAGGTGAAATGCTTCCATGAAGTGATGTGAAATATAGCAGTTGGGTCTCAAATTTATTCCCCTTTCTCTTCTTATTTCTTTTAATGGGTTTAGTACAAATTAAACTGTTTCGCCTCAGCGAGTAGATGCCTTTGAGGTCTTGTTTGCTAATAAGGATTCAGTAGATTCTTATAGGGATGGTTTTAATACAGCTTCATGATTGTTATAATGCAGACATTACTGAAAATGAGGGCACAGAGGTCATGTAAGAGGGTTGTCACGCCGATGAGCAGTTTTTCAGGAAGACACGTCATGTCGGCTCTCAGCCACGAGCAGCTGTGGTTGTGTTCCACAGTGCCAAGCGGAGCCTTCTGTGCCCTCCATCCACAACTCCTGTCGCTGCCACTTGCATTCCTGTGCCTGGTGCACCAAAAGAGAGATGATGGTAGAGTAGCTCCTGTGCAGGGCCGGGGGGCAGCTCTCCTTCCAGTACCACAAGGACAGTGCTGATTGTGATGGGTCTTTAGCTGGAAGCAAGTGGTAGAACACAGAGTTACAGGAGACCAGTGATCACTCAACCCATGTCTTAGTATGTTACATTAGAGGTGAAATGGCACCCGGATAGTCAGGAGAAGAGCCAGAACTTACACACATCTTATACACTCTTTAACTTATTATGCTTTCACTGAGTACCTACTCTGTGCCATTGAATTTGCTGGACCACTAGTAGAGTACAAATATGAACGAAACATGGCCCCGGCATCCAAGGTGGCTCGGGCTGCAGGATGGAATGAATAGGAAGAAATGTTTGCAGTTAGTACATGCAGTGCTGTCATGGAGGTGTGTGTGAGGGTAGTGACAAGAGAAATAAGGACGTCACGTACAACTGTTGGGAGGTAGGTGGCACTGAAGACAGTCCAGGCCAGCTTCACAGAGCAGGTTTCTTCTGCTGTGCTCAGAGGATGCCGTGTGGCACAGGATGAAGAGAAGGGCTTTTCCTTGTTATTCAGACATAGGAAAGCATCTTCTTCTCAAGAGAACAGTGTCAGGAAGGGTGTGGCTTACTACTCTGGAGAGAGGCATCATAAATCAAACTTGGAAAATTCTCTATACTGAGCTCCTGGCTTTGTTGACTATCCAACACTTTTCTATTTATTTTATAGTAATCGTTTTCTCATTAGCCTATGTGCATGTGCACGTGCATGTGCATGTGTGTGTGCTGGTGCCCATGCAATAGCTACTTGTGAAACACCTGTGGGAAAATCCCTTTCAGCCTTCCCCCACGACAGCACTCATCTGCCTCTTGATTTCCCCTCCCTGGGCACCACCATTGCCTAAGCCCTGGACTTTTGCAATAGCTCCCTAAATGCATTTCCCCTCCAGTACTAAATAAAACCGTCTAATTACAATCTTTAAAACTTTAGTAAGGTTTCCCTTCTATTTATTTGCCTTTCTTGGGTAATACGTTCACCTGATACAAAAATGTAAAAGTGAAAAAGAAGGTGTAGTATAGTAGAAGGTCACTCTTTTTGTCCCCCAGCCAGCCAGCTCCCCTCTGTTGGAAACTGGGTTCTTGTATATCCTTCCAGGGAGCTTTTATGAATGTACAAATTTGAATCTCCTTTTTCTCCCTTTTATACAGAAATAGGAGCATAGAGTAGAAACCATTCTGTACTTAGCTTTTTCTTCACTTAGCAGTATATATCTTGGAAATAGATATATATCATCACTACATACAGCACTTCCTCATTCGTTGTTCAGCTGCATTGAGTTCCATTGTACGGAGGTACTGTAGTTTATTCAACCAATTTTGTTGATAGACATTTATGTTGTTACCAGCCTTTGCCATTACAAGCAGTGTTCCCTGTGTGTTGAAACTGCATTAGGTGTATCGCTTAGCTTAAAAAACACTTGACTGCCCCATGTCCACAGAACAGAGTACCATATGGGTATTTTGGCATTCAAAGTCGCCTTTGATGAGGCCCAGAGGAACTTTCTAATCTTCTTATTCATATTTGCCAAAATTCTTTCTTCTGTATCTATACTTCCCCAAATGAACTGCCGTCTTTAGTCAGTGATCATGTTTGTTGACCTAAATGGGCCTTTCTGCTCTTGGTCCTCTACACTGGATCCTCACCTCCCAGCTTTGCCTTTGGTAGTTTTGTCTTTCCTCATTGGCTCATCTCGAGTTCCACCCTCTCTGCTGATCTTCACAGACTTCCTCAATCTGCACCGTTATCTTCTTTCCCCTAGAAACACAGCCCTTGCTGTGCATGCTCTTTTGACTTGGCGTGTCTGTGTGTACATGCGTATACACCCAGGCTTAATGATATTTCTCTCTAAATGTGTATATATCCTTTTATGTATCATCAAGATTGTGAGGTATTTTAGCATTTTATATATGTGGGGGGGTGGGTATATGTATATTAATGGCTCTCAAAATTACTCAGCACAATTCCTTCTCTGTAGAGTTTTGTTTACTTATCTGTTGTCCTTAAACATTCAAAAATCTTACATACTGCTTTAAGCCCAAGCCCTTGTTGGTCCCATTTGCACCCATGTTGATCCTGGGATGAAGAATGATGGCTGGTCCCCTGAGTTTTTGCATCACTTTTCTCTTACCTGCCAGAGCTGCCTCTTCTTCTTTGTCAGAGGGACCCACCCTCCTACCCTTGAGGCTCCACAAATGCCTAACATTTCCTGTTTCCATGACAACATATATGCCATGTTTCCAGTAGACTGTTCAGTTTTTTCTAAATTGTGATTCTCCAGTCTCAGCGAAGCCTTTATTACATAGGCCTTTCTAGATTCTCGCCTCTGTTTTCAGTCACTTTAATGTCTAAGAGTAATGATGATGGCTGGTCTATCAAGACCTTTCCAGGCACCAGACACATTATTTGCATGATTTCCTCAAACCGAGAAGATAAGGATATTGCTGGTGATGTGTTTATTTCATTCCACTTATTGAATAATGCATAAGTTATACTTATGATTATTTATTCATAGGAGGCCTTATTATCTATGTGTGGACTTGCCCATCCTGTAACTGGCCAGTACCTTTTATTTCCAGCTGCCCAGGAGGCAGCAGGCTGCTTGGTCTTCCCCAGGGATGGGCGAGCTTGTACTTAGGGAAAACAAGCTCATTTTTTATTTTCAAAAAGACCATGGCTGATTCAATAATACTGTGATTACATATTCTGCTGAAATGTCATAGATAAGTCAGTTTTCGGATTTTACATGTTTGTGCTGTTTTCCATGCTGTCCTCAGCCCTGCCGGATTGCAGACTTCTCAGATGCAGAAACTTACTTTGCACTCCCTGAACTTTCTCATTGGTAGTGAAATTGTTAATACAGATTTTCCCATAAACTATGGTTCAGTTAATTAAGTGAATTAATTAGTTTTGTATTGATTTCTGCTTTACTTTTTTCTTTTTTCAGGAAATCATTTGCCAGAAGAATAATGTGAGTATGTTACTTAACCCTCCCAGAAGTTTTTTTTCTTTTCTATCAGCTAATCTCTGGTATTTTTTCACACTTGCAAAATATTAATTTCTATCTCTGTTTTTCCTCTTTAAAGTTTCTAACATATCAATATAAATATGATTATTTTATCTAAATATTCCCTTATAGTAAAATTTTATTTTTAGTGGAGGTGACACTGATACCATTTTTAAAAATATATAGTAATGTTTTTGAAAAATTTTGCAAAGTAGATTCAATTTTGTGGAATTATGAATGGCACTAAAGCAGCAGATATACACACAGAAACACACATGTATGTGTGTATATATGTATACTTACACGTATATACCTGTACATATATACTTCGTATGTGTTGGATATATATGCATGTACATATATAGATACATACATGTATATATGCATATTTCTGTTTAATTTGTCTACCATCTATTTACCTAGAGAGATTGATTTAAGTTTCTATGTCCTGTATCTGTTTTTGAGACCACACTACAAAATCCTTGCTCTTCACACAGAATTACTAGTTAAAAAGTGATAAAAATAAATTTAAAAATGAAAAAAATGCCTGAAAGTAAATAATGCACAGGTGAATCACCTTGTTATGCCAGCCAATGGCTGTACTTTTCACTTTGGAAGTACAAAGATCTGCACACGATTGGATTTAAGATGACAACATTAAAAGCACAATTGATAGATTTTCTTTAGATAAGAAGCTTTAAAACTTAGGGTTAAGATTTCACCAGCTCAGAGACTCACAGCATAAGTAATGTTGTCATTATAAACTCATCCTATACCTATCAACAGGAAATGAGAAATTATTGCTTCATGCATCAATTCATTGTAACAGATTTCATTAAACCAATAGTGATTGACATGAACCATGTGCCAAACTTTGGGTTGGTGCCACAGGGTTTCACTAAGGAGGTTGAAAGTGACAACAGCCACATTTCGTAACTTCCACAAGACAACAAATGAGAAGTGCCAGAGTCTGGTTGGGGCAAAAGGCCCATAAACAGATCAGCGCACAAACCAATTAGAAAATTAACATAAAGCAGCACTCTAGAGAGTGGGTGGCGATTACATCATGTGGTCACGGCAGGTCTTTCAGATTAGGTAGCAAATGCTACTACCTGAGACCTGAATGGTAGGAAAAACTCAGTCGTGCCTGTGATGGTTCGGATGTGTGGAGAAGCCAGTTTATGAGATGACCAAATAGTGCACATTATGACCAAGTTGTCATTGACTTCAATAAGCTGCTATTGCAGGTGCTGGGTGTCCTTATCAGAAGTTGAGTATTTTGCCCTGACTGGTGTGGCTCAGTGGGTTGGGTGTACTCCTGCCAACTGAAAAGTTGCCAGTTCGATTCCTGGTCGGGCGGGGTACATGCCTGGGTTGCTGGCCAGATAGCCAGTGGTGGGGGTGTGCAAGGGACAAACAGGGGATGTTTCTCTCTCACAGCAACATTCTCTCCCTCCCTTTCTCCCTCCCTTCCCCTCTCTCTAAAAATAAATAGAATCTTTTTTAAAAAGCCCTTGACTTTTAAAAAATGTTGAGTATTTTGAGCATATATTTCAACATGTTTGAATGCTGAGAGCATTTCTTCCCAGAGGCTTAATTCATTTTCCTCACATACTTATATTCATTTTTGTATGTTTTTAGAAAATAAAATACAGAATTGGCGTTGTTTTAATAAAAACAGTGAAGGTAATTGGATAGAATAAGACTAGATTTTGAGCTGCGGGTTTTTATAGCCGTGGAAACAAGCATGGGTCTGAGGGATGGGCGTTATTATTTTATAAGCACGCTCTAGTGTTTTGAAATGGGAGGAAACGTCTTTCTCCTTCAAGAAGCAGTCTTAAATGTTTTTAAATTTATTTATTTTAATTGTTCAAGTACAGTATTCTGTCTTTTACTCCCATCTCAGTCCACCCCCCCAGTGCTCCCCACCTCCCTCCCATTTCAACCCCCCTTAGTTTTTGTCCATGTGTCCTATATACTTATTCCTGTAAACCCTTCCTCTTTCCCCCTGAAATTCCTTCCCCTCTCCCCTCTGGTCACTATGAGCAGGCTTAAATATTTTAGAATTAGTATCTTCTTAATGAAAGGCATTTGTTGCACCTAAGATGTATGTTCTTGATCACACAGTGGTTGTTTTTATTTTGCTTTGGATTATTAATTATTTTATACTCTGGATTTTGTAGCAATCTGCAAACAGCAATTGCAGCAATATTTCTAAGTTATATGTGAGCCCACTTGGGAAATAAATGTTTCCATATTATTAATCTTCGTTTTGAAAAGTTGCTTTTTTTAGCAGTCCATATCTTTTTAGGAAACGCAACATCCCACAACCATCCCTCACACTTTTTCCTCCACTGCAAGCCTGCCGAGTTGTCTCTTAGCTCAAGCCTGGTAGCATCCGTGTGCCTCCTATAGCTTCTCAGCCTCCCCTGTTTTTGAATACCAACAATGGGAAATTGAAATATATATATTTACTGCCTCAGGAACATAGGCAAGAGACTTCAAAAAGTGCGGTGAGGCCAGAATCTTAGGACAGCCTTGGCATGCTGGGTATTTTCAACAGGGGTTCGGAAGCCTTAGTCCTTGGGGTTTGAAGAAGACAATTTCAGGAATCTGTTTTTCTCTGCCGTTTGCATGGCTCTCATTTCTCTCTCTTTGTCCCTACACTGCTCAACACACAGCCAGACATCTGATAGTCATTCTCTCCTAGAATTCCTTTTGCACAGATGCATTATTCCCCAATGCCAAAAATTGCAACAGTGTATTATATTTCATGTCTTATACATAAATACATGTAGTGTTAAGGCTTCTGAGGATACAGAACTTTATCCATCAGCAGAATAATATCCTGGAACTCAAATATCACTTTTCTAGTTCACTGGGGGCTTCTGTTTTTTCTAATTTGTGACTTAGAAGATTCAGAGCATTTTCTTTTTTGTGATTTTGTTATGGTTTTTATCTAAAACAGGAGTATTTAATTCTGTTGCTCTGTTTCATAATCCACTCATAGTTTAAGCTCTGGATGCTTTGGAAAGCAGCCTCTTAATATATGTGTCTTTCTTTTCTGCCTGGGAGGTGGCTTGAGTGAAAGGATTAAGTTGGTGGACATACTATGGGTCTTGGCTACATTTTAGAAGCAGGAAATGTTTATTTTTCCTCTCTCTGACTAGTCTTCCAGTTATTGTTGCATGAAGGAGAACTTGAGGAAGGAATAACTTCACGTTCTTGATTTAAAAATCAAACCTCAACCTCTGGAAGTTCTTATACTTTAAATGGAAGCTAGGTCCAGTTTCTGCTTCTTACTTGACATTCAAGAAGTGCCTCAAAGAATAAAATGTTCAAAAATAACTAAGTCTGCCCACAAGGGCACTTGGCACTTGCATATGTGCTATGTGACAGCAACTTGGCTCATGCAGGGTTCATGGAAGGTGACCTGAGGCAAAGGGCTTGTGTGCCAGCCTGCAGAGGCCACTGGGGAGGGTGCCCAAACCCCTGGTGTTAATGGCATACCCTCTAGAGAAAGAGTCACCAGGCTGGAGTCCCAAACAGCACAGAGCAGTGGTGACCTCTCAAAACCTTACCTGTTTCCTCACCTGTAAAGTAGAGATAATAGCAGCTTCTTCGTGACGTCATTGGGAACTGTGGCCATTCATTCTCTGGCACATGCAAGTGGTAACTAAATGTTTGTTCTCATCATTTTATTTCTAAGCATCAGAGAAGTAATGTGTTGTTCTTCATAATGCTGATGCGACTGGGAACCAATAATCCAAGCTCCCCAGGCTCCTGAAATGGTGCTAAATAAACTTTTCCAATATCTCATTCTAATTTTGTTTTTTACTTTTTCCTTTCTGTGTGGTTTTTCTCTTAGAGGTCTTTCCCATTTCCTTAGTTTCAACCATATCAAATAATTCCCAGGTCTGCATTTTCACTTGAAACTCTTACATGTTCCAATCTTGTGTTTTCAACTATTCTGGATACTTTCACTTTGGGTATTCTGCTCTCCTGAAATCCTAACCTCTCTAAAGGTGAACATTTCACCCTGCCATCCCAAATTAAACCTCAGCTTCTTGACATTCTTCTAAAAGATTAACGGGAACTTTGAGTCTCTTTGATTAATTACCTGATATATAACAAGTGCCCAGAGTGCAGTGCATTCTTAAGTAATTAAGTCTGGTTCTACTTTCTGAATTCATTTTTTAGATGCCATGTATTTGGGTGCCTTGAGGGTTTTTTGAAAGATTTTATTTATTTTATTTTAGAGAGGGAAGGGAGATGGGGAAACATCAATGTGTGGCCGCCCCTTGAGCTCCCCCTACTGGGGACTTGGCCCGCAACCCAGGCCTGTGCCCTGACTGGGAACTGAACCAGTGACCTTTTGGTTTGCAGGCCAGCACTCCATCCACTGAGCCACACCAGCCAGGGCTGCTTTCTGAACTCTTGCTTTTGTTAATGACGCCACTCTTTGAGGAAGCTGCATTTAAGAATAGCGAGTTGCCTTTGACTCCTTCCTCTCTCTCAATATCTGTAACCAGCTAGCAGGTTACAGTGAGTGCGTGTGCCAATTGCTGCTACTGCTGGTCATGCTTGGCAGCTTCCTACCTAATTTCCTTCAATCTTGTTTCATTCCCTGTCAGTCCTTTCTGTTTTCTTCCCAGACTGTCAGAACACACAGCCTCAATGGTGTTTTCTTTCCTGCTCTGAATCCTCCATGATTCCCACTGCCCGGCATGTGTAGTTTAAAATCCTTAGCTTTGCATTCACTTCCGTTCCCTGAGCCCCAAGCTCTGATCATACTTACGTATTATCACTCAGGGGTGTCCAGTGCAATTTCATCTCTCTTGTTTCCAGCTCCACTTCTGTTTGCACCAGCAGCCCTCAGTTGGCATCATTAGTAATTCATAGAAAGTCACGATGAGTGAGCAGAGAGCAGCATGGGCTGGTATTGGAGACAGGCAGAATTTGGATACTGAAGCCCTTGTAATACAGTGCTACGTTTTCTTCATCTAAGGAGCAAGGAAAGAGGCTTCCAGCAGCTGAGGGAGTGATCTGATGTAAGTTAAAAGATCACTTTGACAGATGGGTAGAGAATAGATTGGAGGACAAGAGCGGAAGCAGGGACACCAGGTAAAAGCCGGTTACAGTAGCACAGGCTAGGTATTTTGGAGGCGTGATCTATAGTGCTGGCTAGAGGATGGAGGGGAATGGGCAAATATGAGATAGATTTTGAAGGTAGAAGAGACTGGACTTTGATAGGCTATGGGAGGTAAAGGAAATGGAAGCATCAAGGATAACTTCTGGTCTCTAGTTCTAGTGCCTAAGAGACCAGTGGAGCCGTGACTGAGATAGAGTAGCCTGGAGAGGCGCAGCTTGGTTCCACAGTGTGGCCTGTCACGTGGGCAGCCCTTAAGTGTTCGCTCTTACTGTTTTCATGTATTTATCGGACTAAATTTTAAGTTCTTGGAAGGCCGCAGGCTGTGTTTTAAACTACTCTGTTTTTCCTACAGTATATATCAAATGCTTTAGCCATGAGAGATGGGGAATAAATACTTAAACTGGTTGATAGAAACCTTGCCATAGTGTTCTTTTGTATCATCTGTAAGTCCTAATTATTTGAAGTAAACAATGAGAGAAATTGGCAGAAATTTCTGTTTTTGTAGCCCATAAATACGAAATGAGGTTTTTCTACTTCCTTTCACATTCAAGATTATCATTTAAAATGCTCACGTAAGTGAGACTTGGGGTTGCGTTAGTGTGGGAAGTTCAGGCTCGCTTACCGCCTTCTGGGCCCCTCTCTGCAGATGTGCACTGGAAACTACACGTTTGTCCCGTACGTGATAACACCACACAACAAGGTCTACTGCTGTGACTGCAGCTTCATGAAGGGGCTGTCAGAGCTCATGCAGTCCAACTTCGAGCTGCTTCTTGGACCCATCTGCTTGCCTCTGGTGGATCGTTTCATTCAGCTGCTGAAGGTGGCACAGGCAGGTTCCAGGTCAGTTTAACAAATGAAGTGTTATTCTATTTTATTTATTTGTACATTGGATAAGATGTTTGTTAGGTACAGTACACAGCAGCCAAGAACCAGGAAGAAAATGTTTACTGCCTTCTAAGTGGATAAAATAGATGTCCCGTGGTTCATATGTTACATCTTACTCACTTATTTACAAACTAACTTGAAATTTTAAAAAAAGACAGCTAACTATGTTATTAGTGATGGTAAAGCTAAAAATAAATTCAAAGTATAGAAATATTGTCTAAGTAAAAGTCCAGGGACTTTTAATGTAAGAGCAAGAACTCTACAAAAATTACTGAGAGTATTGTTATATTTTATTTAAATATCATATGGTTGCTTATTTGTTTTTATTATATTTAAAAGCTGTCATTTATGTTAAATAATAAAGCTGAGTCAGAAAGTAAGGGTTATTTATGTTTAAATCATAGGCATGCCTAATTTATTTAGAACAATTTGTACTCAAAACCATAAAGTTAAAGATAATGTTTAAGCATTTTAAGTGGTACATTACAAGTTCTTGGGAAACTCGTTAACATAGAATATCTACATTTCTTCCTGAAGCAAGGCAGAGTATTAATAGAAATGTGGGACTTCCAAATTTTTTAATAATGCTAGTTATATGAGGTGTTTATTCTATGTATTTCAGTGAACTGAAAGCTACCAATGCTGCAAAATGTCATTCTTTTTCTTGTAAAATTATTACTTTTCATTGAAATTCTTCTAGTATTAACTCTTTGAAATATGTTTTCTTACCAGCCAGTTTTTCCAGGAATCTATAATCAATGATATCAGAAAAGCTCGTAATTTATACACTGGTAAAGAACTAGCAGCTGAATTGGCAAGAATTCTGCAGCGAATAGATAATATTGAAGTCTTGACAGCAGATATTGTCATAAATCTTTTACTTTCCTACAGAGATATCCAGGTGAGAACATGCTTAATATCTTTTTCATATTATATATTAGAAGTATATGGGAGTATTAACATAAAATTTCAGTTAACAAGTCATTCATGTTAGTACATGTAATTTTTTTATAGACTCTCATATGCTTTCTATCCTGAGAGTTTACGATGAATGAAATAGACTCATATGAGTAACAGTCAGTGATTGTGAAAGACCCGTATGGTAAAGGTCTTCTTCCTCTGAAGGAATAAAAAGGAAATTGCTCAGGCATGCCAGACCCAGGTGCAGTCCTTTCTATTCTTTAACTTCAGGTACACCTCTCAGTTAACAAGAGCTTTGTTTTGGTAAGTAGTCAAAAAATTTTAAGAGCTTTTTGGATATATCACCATCAAAATTGTGTTGTTTAAAATGAATACTGCAATATCCAACTAGCCGGAAGCAAGAAGTATGCAATTGATTAATTATAAAACTGACTTAAAAATCTTTTTAATTTTTAAATTACTGTTGACATACAGTATTAGTTTTAGCTGCACAACATAGTGATTTGACATTTATATAACTTATGAAGTGATTGCCCCACAGTTATTACAATGTTAACTATATTCCTTATGCTGTTTTTTATATCCCTTTAAAAATAACTTTTAAAATACATAAAGTAAAACACACTCATATGCCTTATTATTTTTATTGACATGTCTTAAAATTGTAAAAATATGATACATACAATGAAACCCTCTCTGAGTTGGAAATTTGCAATTAGATTTTTAAAATAAAATTTAAGGGACTTCTGGTTTCATTTTTCCAGAGTTTCGGCCTGAGTAAAGCTTCATGTGAACAACAGAGATTTACACAAGTGCAGAGGTATAGCACTTAGGATCCTGTGACTAGTGTAGTTTATTCTTGTTGAAACAAAATTGTTTTGTTGGTTATAACAGAATTTCGATCAGTTGCTCCATATTCTTGATTATTTTGGAAATTCTTTCCCTGAACATAATGGATAGGACGCGGCATGTCCTGAATCTGGCTCCGTGGAGAGGTGTACCACCCTTATTAAGACAGTATAGCATTATCATGCTAGATGGTTTACTGGTTTTCTGGTTAGACATGAAAACTCTATCCTATGTTTTATCTGTATAAGCAAAACCGCTTATTTTAAGGGAAAAAAACCCCAGTTTCTTCTTGCTTCTAGCTTTTTCAAAGTATTCTTTGGATTCTAGTTCTTTTTTTAATTCCCTACTCAGATTCGAATATGTGGTTGTCAAAAGCATTTCATTGTTAGAACTTTCTCCTGATGATTTAATTCTGTGCTGTTCTCCTCCCATTTAAAAGGAATACGATTCGATCGTGAAGCTGGTAGAGACGTTAGAAAAGCTGCCCACCTTTGACCTGGCCTCCCATCAGCATGTGAAGTTTCATTATGCATTTGCACTGAACAGGTGAGCAGACAAAGTTCCTGTTCACAATGTGCTAACATATTATTTTTTAACCTGAATATGCTTTCTAGGGCATGTTATTGTGTAGCTCTGCAGCTGCTCCCTGTTAAAATGCAATTTTAATATTTCCACTTCAACCATATATAGGAAGCATGTACTCTGATTTTTTTCTGATTTTTTGGGGGGGTCAGTAAAGAGTTCTCACTGTTTTATATTAAAATCCTTAAATTCTTTTTCTTCTTTGTCAGAATTTGTATCTGCTATTTATATATTTTTAGATTTTTAAAAAATTACATGAATATAATGTTATGTTTAAGCAAATATACTCAACACGAAATGGTTATTCATGCAAAAATGGACTCAAGTAGGGTAAGGATAGTTTTATCTAGGTGTCACATTCCGAACCAGAGAATATTTTCACTGGGGCTGCTCCGAACACACCTAATTATAATCAGAATTCTGTTGGCCATGTTATAGGTCATGTGTCCATGAGTCTTTTAGTAGGTTCAGGACTGTATGTACTGCTGATGCTAGGCCTGCTCCTCTCCCATCTGTTTGCATAATGGCACGTGCCTCAGTGCCACTTTCTACCCAGACTGGCCACAGAGGGCCAGCCTAGCCTGGCCGTGGAGAGGCCCGCGTCACTGAGCTGTCCAAAGTGGGCTTTGCTGTGCTTTCTCTTCCAAGGTGGAGAGTTGAATGCATACATAATTAACACAACTGAAGGGGATGATAAAAAGAAAAATGGAGGGGACATCCTGTCTGTTGAGTACTTGCCATGTGTCCCTTAAGGCTCAATTATTTTACAGATGAGAGAACTGAAAGCTGGAAAAGCTGAGTGACTTCTCTTCAAGGCTTATAGTTACATGTCATAAGCTGAGCCTCACACCTGGATTTGTCTGATGCAGATGGCTGTTTTCATCATGTGTTCTCCTGCCTCTGCCTGCAAAGCCAGCATGCTATTCAATCAGGGATGGTTTCTTTCCTTTTTTTTACCCATCCAAACTGTAGAACTTGCTGATTCTATTAATAAATATATAATAAAGGTATATTTTATACCCCCATTTATTGAACAATTTTTCTTTACATTTGACAAAGTGAGATGAGACCACAAGAGATTATCTGCTCCAACTGGTTTTCAAATAAGTGTTTTTTTATGGGGATTTTATTTTTTTCAGGGCGAAAGTTTCTTAATATCAGCACCAAATGGGGGTATACAAATGATAAAAAGGGTCAGGGTTTTGTAACCCTGTTTGGATAAGTTGCTTTGATATCTCAGTAAATATCAAAATTTTGTCAAAGTTCCCAAATCCTTAGGACAGAAGAAAAAAAAAACACATGCTTTTGTTTTATATTATTAGAATTTTCATTCTGTAGGGGGAAAATTATGTAGCACTTAAATCTTAACTCTTAGGTTCTTTCCAGGAAAATGTGGTGAAATTATCAGAAAGATTTTACAATTAATGTTTGAATTATCTGGGATTTGGAAGGATCACTGAGCCCTATTTGTTAGAAGTAAAACTGCTCTAATTCTGCATCTCAAAGGCTCAAGTGTGCCAATCATTTCGGAAAGATGGAATAGAATGAATATGTTGTACTTTGAAATGAAAAATGAAAGTGCATAAGACCCTCTTACATTTTCCTTTATGTTGTACCTTTACCGTTTCTAAAATAGAATATAATGAATCGATAAGCATATTTGTATCAGGTGTTAGTCTATACTGAAGGTATTTAGGACAGAGTGAAAAGGCATTTTAGAAAGAGAGATTTAAAGTAGTAGTTGAGCATAGAAATAACTTTTTGAAATAACAGCTTTTATTTTTTTTAATTTTTTATTGTTGTTCAAGTACAGTTGTCTGCATTTACCCCCCTACCAAGCCTTTACTGAAATATAATTTATATTCCATACAATTTATCTATATAAGATGTACAGTTCAATGGTTTTTGAAATATTAACAGATATGATCTCACTTTTAAGTGGAACCTAATCAACAAAACAAACAAACAAGCAAAATATAGCCAGAGACATTGAAATTAAGAACAGTCTGACAGTAACCAGAGGGGAGGTGGGAGGGGATAATGAGGGGAAGGGTTTTCAGGAACTACTGTAAAGGACACTGAACAAAACCAAGGGGGAGGGTGAAAGCAAGGGAAGGAGGTGGGGACGACTAGGGTGGTGGGGAGTGGTGAGAGTTAAATGCAGACAAGTGTACTTGAGCAGCAATAAAATAATTTAAAAAATAAAATATTAACAGAATTGTGTGACCATCAACATAATTAATTTTAGTACATGTTCATCACTCCAAAAACAAACCCCTACCAATTAGCAGTCACTCTCCCTTTTTCTCTCCTAATCCCCCAGACCTAGGCAACTACTTACCTACTTTTGAGCTCTATAGGTTTCATGTAAGCACAGTCATGTAATATGTAGTCTTTTGCAACTGGTTTCTTTCACTTACCATGATGTTTTCAAGGTCGAAAAAATAACTAAAGAGAATTTTTATCTTGTTATAAAAATGGTCTATAACGTACTTGATATTTTAAAATGAGCTACATAAAGCTGCTTCCTTAGATAGTCACACATAGAAATTAAGCAATTGTTGGTTTAAAGTTGCTTTATTAGAATTGTCTGAATTACTTTGCTCAGCTTTTTGGAATAAAAGCCATGAAAAGGGTTTTGTAACCCTGTTTGGGTTAGTTGGCTCTGCCCCATTTTGGGCCTCAGACTGAACTCCTAATCTCTCTTCACCAACTCAAACCTGCATTTATACTGCAGAGAAACTGGAAGGTCTGTGGATGGGTAGGACCAAACCATTACTATTGTCAGAAAGGCAATTCAGTAGAGATCCTTGTTAAACCAAGGAGACAGGCGGCAGGATAAAAAACAATAAGGCTTACTACAAAGGTTTACAGACGACTCTCATAATCTAACTCTTGTTTTTTATCCTGCAAAACTTCACTAACATGAATCAATATGTTAGAGTTTTAAAGAGATAATTGACCTATATTGTTTCTGTAATCTCTATTGAAACAAGAATGTTTTCTTTCCCTACCTTAGGAGAAATCTCCCTGGAGACAGAGCAAAAGCTCTTGATATCATGACTCTCATGGTTCAAAGTGAAGGGCAAATAGCTTCAGATATTTACTGTCTAGTTGGTCGAATCTACAAAGATATGTTTTTGGACTCTAATTTCACGGACACTGAAAGTAGAGACCAAGGAGCTTTTTGGTGAGTATATAGGATCAGTCGCTTAATGAACCTATAACATTAAAAACCGTTTGCAAATTGAAGTGTTAAAAAATTGTTTTTACGATTTAGATTATATATTATGAAATAAATCTTAGAATTTATAGCTTTAGTAAACAGTTTTGGTGAAATTCATTTAATGTGGCAGAGTAAATTGGAATAAATCAGATGAAAAGATAATTTTTAAAAATATGACAGAAGTACAATTTTATGGAAAATTCGTAAAAGTTAATACAAACACATGAAAGATGACATGAACGAATGGGAACATATACCAAGTTTATGGGTGAGAAGACTTGATATTTTAAAGATGTAAATTATCCTCAGCAGGGCTTTTAATGTAATTTGAAAGATTGATTCTAAAATGTATTTGAAAAATAAAGGACCAAAAATAGGCATAGCAATTTGAGAACAAGGCGGAGGGACTTCCTCTAACAGATAACAGGACCTACTATACAGGACTTACTGTACCGAGGTAAGCATTAGACATTACAATGTGACTGTAGACATAGACAGGGAGGAAGACAGTGAAGCAGAAGAAATGGCCTGGAACTGGTGGAGATGTTGATGAGACTAGACTTATGTCACCGTAGGAAACCTGACCAGAGGGGAAAGGTGGACTCTTCAGTACTGCTAGTAGGAAGTTGGTTTATCCGCTTGTAGAAATAAACAGAATTGGATCCCTGCTTTAAGTCATGCACACACACAAAAAAAGAAGTCAGTGAATTAATGACCATAATATGAAAAAAATACTTTTAGAATAAAATATACAAACTGCATTTATGACTTTGGGATAAGAATGAATTTCTTAAGCGAGGTTTAAAATACCATAAACCATAAGAATCTTTTTCCAAACCAAAAGATTGGAAAACGGAATATATAGAATTTGCGTCTTCTCATCAAGGTTCTGGCTTTTGGAAATGGCAGAGTAGGTTCTAGTGCACTGATCCTCCTGCCAATAACAATGATACGTGTTGGGAAAATACTTTTAAAAAACATTTGAAAGCATTAAAGAGTGACTAAAAATAGTCATAAACTAGAGAGGTGTTGATCTTGGATGAAGGGCACCACATTGGATAAGATCCAGTATTTAAATGGCTTTTTGCTTGGGGCATTTCCTGGTCTGGAGGGCATAGAGTAGACAGAACTCAGAAGAAAACCAGTCTTACTGGCCTGAGGAGTCGGTTTGATGCTGCCAGAGTGCTGGATTGAGTGGGATACCCCTAAGTGAAGGAACCACAAAGAAAGAGCCCCCAAATCTGTGTATAAATTTCTCTTCCATTCTTGGTTGACCCTGATGTGTGCAAAGGAGCCCAGACAGAAAATAACAGCTAGAAGGTTAAAATAACTAAACAGATACTTCAGCAGCTGCCCAGTATAGGAAAGACAGAATTTGGAGTTTGACCCTCGCCAAGGTAAGAGGGGATTGATAAACAGTTTGAACTTTTCACTGAAACTCTGGAAAAGCCAAGGCTTAGGAATTAAGAACTACATTCCAGAACTAAGGAAGTGCACTGAAATGAAGAGCAAAACCCAAATAGAGCCACTCTAATAATACCTAATATATGCCCATTGTAACAAAACTCATACTCTTTAAAGGATAACAGAATCTAAACTTTCTGCAATATATCATCTAAAATGTCTAATACACCATCGGAAGCTACTAGATTTGTAAAGAAATAGGAAAGTGTGTTTCATAATCAAGAAAAAAACATACTTAATAGATATACACCCACAGACAACACTGATTTTGGAATTATCAGAAAATGATATTATAATAACAATGATAAATAGGTTAAGCAGACTACCGGGAAAGAGGGATATTGTGGGTAAAAATATGAAGAATTATAGGAAATACATATAAACTAGAAAAGAACCAAATGGAAATTCTATAACGGATCCCTGATCAGGGCACATGCAAGTATCAACCATGAATGAAGAAGTGGAACAACAAGTCACTGGTACCTCCCTCCCTCCCTCCCTCCCTCCCTCCCTCCCTCCCTCCCTCCCTCTCTCTTTCTCTCCTTCATGTCTTTCTCTTTCTCTCAAATCAATCAATCAATAAAATTATTTTGTAAAAAAGCAATAGAAAGAACAAAGAAAATCCAATACTTAAAAAAATTTCATCAGATGGGATTAATAGCAGTTAGAACTCACTATAAGAAAGGATCAAAAAACTTGGAAACAAGTTATTTAGAAAGCATTCAAATGCAAGCAGAGGGAAGAAAATATTGAGAAAGGTTAAATGTCAGTGACCTATGTAATAGCATTGAGTAATCTGACAGACTGTTGATCACAGTCTGAGAGGAGAACAGAGGTGACATAGCAGGAAAAATATTTGAAGAATCAGTGGCCAAATATTATCCAAATGTGAGAAAACAAACAACAAAACAGCCCATAGATTTAGGAAGATGGGCAAAATCCAAGCAGAATAAATAGTAGGAAAACCATCCCTCAGCACTTCATAGAAAAACTCCAGAAAAATTAAAGGAAATATAAATGTAACTCAGAAAAAAGGTACATATATACAAGGCAGAGTGTGTGTTGACTTCTCATCAGTAGCAAACCAGAAGATGATGGAATAGCATCTTTAAAATGCCTAAAGAGGTGTCAACAGGAATTCTGTATCCAGTGACGGTGTCTTTCCAAAGCGAAGGTGAAGTAGACATTTCTAGATTTAAAAAAACCTGAGATAATTTGTTGCCAGCAGGCGTTTACTACCAGAAATGTTAAAGGGAAATCTTTAGGGTGAAGGGAAGTGATAGCAGATGGAAAGTTGGATGTGTAGGTAGAAATACAGAGCACTGGAAATGGTAAATGTATGAATAAAAATAGATGTTAACAAAGTGACACAATAAACCACAGACAGGGAGCAATGCATGTAACCAATACAGGATTTGCATTCAATATTTATAAATAACTCCAAAAATATTTAAGAAAAAAATGTTATAGCCCTGGCTGGTGTAGCTCAGTGGATTGAGCATGGGCCTGTGAAGCAAAGGATCGCAGTTCGATTCCCAGTCGGGGCACATGCCTGGGTTGCAGGCCAGTTCCCAGTGGGGGACACATGAGAGGCAACCACACATTGATGTTTCTCTCCCTCTCTTTCTCCTTCCCTTCCCCTCTCTCTGAAAATAAATAAATAAAATATTTTTTAAAAAGAGAAAAAATGTTATAAATGGGCACAGGCTATGAATAGGTCATTCACAGAGTTGAATCACAAATGGCCAATAAACATTTTAAAAACATATAAAAAGATGCTTTACTTGCAAGCTGAAACACTGCTATTCCATTTTACAGTATTTAGATTAACAAAAATTTTTAAGTCCTACGTATCAGTTGTTGGTAAGGATGTTAGAGAAGTGGGAGTCCTAATCTTCTGGTTGTGGTAGAAATTTGATAACCACTTGAAAGATTTTGGAAATATCAAGGAAAGTTACCAGCGAGTCTACCCTAGATCTAGCAGATCAACTCCTAGTTATATACTGGAGGGGAACGCTTCACTTTTCTCTGCATAAAAGCATCAGCATTCAATACACATGTATAACATTGAGCAGAGTAAGCAAATGGCAGAAGGATACATGGAGTATGGTATCATTTATAGAAACTTTAAAAACAATCATACACATGTAAGAAAAGCATAGATACATGAATTCACATCCAAAGTTTTCAGTTCAGTATATTGGTTACCAGTGGGGAAGAAGAAGTAAGGGATCATGGAGTGATCTACATGCAGATGCACGGGTGTTTAAAACATTTTATTAAACTGAGTGATGAGTGTATGTATGTGAGGGTGCTGATTGTATTATTCTATTTTACTTTGTAGTTTTTCTAAAACATTCCTAAAATATCCCCTGATTAAAAAGTATATTAAAGGAGATTGACTTACTTCAGGACTTCCTCCATGAAAGCCAAAACATTTTTAAGTTGCGAAAAAGGAATCATAACTTTTAAAATCCTTTATCATTTCAGCAGTTAAGTGGAGGACTGAAGTTTGGATAATGGATTATAACCAGGGAGGACAATTGGGAACAATGTCTTCTTCAGTCCTCATAAAAACTTCCTGTTTGGATTTTTACATGTGTGTTATAAATTCTTACTACAACCCAGAGAATTTTACATTTTCTCTTAACAGTGTTTTTTCTTCTATTACAAAAGAGGATTGTAACTGTGCAGTCTATTACCAGAAGGTTTACACTTTAAGAAAACTCTTAATTGTAAGAGGATTAGAGAGACTTCCAATTAGCATGGTAGCATAGGTAAGCACGGCTCACCTCCTTGCACAACCACATCAAAATTACAAATAAACTACAGGGCAGCCATCACTCAAAACCATCAGAACTTGAGTTGAATGGAAGTACATCTATGGATTTAAAGAAACCACATCCATCCAGATCAGTAGGAGGGGTGGAGATGCATAGCAGCCTGGTCCAACATCTACATGTGGTAGATAAAAATTTGGAAGGGATATCTTGGGAGCAAGGAGTCTCAGCCCTATACCAGACCTCACCCAGCCCAGGGTTCTAGAGCCAGGAAGGTAAGACCTCATAACTTTTGGCTGCCAAAACCAGCAGATATTGAGTCAGTGGAATAAACTTCTGGGATCCCAAATAGTTAAAGAACCCACACATGGACTTACTCAGACTACTCCCTCTGAGCTCTAGCAACAGGGTAGCAGCTTGAATGGCACCGGTGGCATGCAGTGGTTAATTGAAGTGTTTGGAGTCAAAGCCAGAGCTGGGGGACAGCTTTCTCCCAGACAGAAAGGTTGGCAGAGGCTATAGTCCCTTTTCTGAACCCTTCCCCAACAGAGCCAGAGAACTGGCAGGATAATACCAAATTGGAAACTCCATTAACCTGGGTAGCACTGTTTTCCCTGCCCTGGAGATCCCTTTAGGCTCTCCGCTCCCCAACTGGCAGTTAACATTGGTTTTTCCATGCTAATGTCTGTTTGTGGCTCATGCTTTATAATTTACTAAATC